TGTTGCATTCGAATGGCTATTTATCGAGCAGATTACAATTATCATTCGCTTACGGATATTATCGACAAAAAATTCCGACCAAGTATCGAGCAATGTCATAAACTCCTCCCCCTTAATTCAGTTCGCTTTGGACTTTGAGTATTTCGTTGATCAATGGAAAGCAAGTTATTCCGCATAATGACACAGCTGTTTATTTATTGGCTTGGGGTTACGCCCCTACATACAAATACAGGTATGCACGCACGCACGCACGCACGCACGCACGCAAGCAGGCAGGCAGGCAGGCAGGCAGACAGGCAGGCTGGCAGGAACAGATAGACAGACAGACAGACACACAGACAGACAGACAGAGAGATAGATAGAGAGAGAGAGAGAGAGAGAGAGAGGATGAATGAGGAGGGCAAACGAGAGAATTTCTTTTTCACCGAGACAGCCGAATTACGCATAATTCCCACGAGCGGATGAGGGCCCATCGATCGCCCGCCACGTAATCCCTCGACCCGACGATAATCGCAATTCACGCGACGCCGGCACGTGAGTCCACGCCCCGACGCGGGCGTCGCCGCCCCCGGATGACGTGAAAGAGCGAAGAAGCCCCCGACGATTCCAGGCGTCAATGCCGAGCGAAGATGAAGCCGCTAGAGATGCTTTTTATCGCGCGGCATTTGCTCCTTCTTTCGCTTTCCCGTCCAATCCTCACACCCTCCAACCCCGGCCCCTCTGACGTCCCTACCGTCCCACAACGGTCGGCGCTGTTTTCTCGCTTTTACGCGCGATTATTAATGAAATTAAAGCTTAACTGCTCGTTTAATGAATTGGAACGATAAGGCATATAAAGGCTCGTTGCACTGTCACTCGGCTTTTCTTCGCTTCTTATACGAATGTACGACTCACCGCGACGAGCACTCGCATTCTTAATAATTAACACACTCGTCGCGATATCTTATCGGGCCAAGATGCGCGCCATGCGCCTCTACAAAAGGACAGACTCAAACACAAATGCTCTTTATCTTGAGCGGATTAGCCTCCGTGGAATATAATCCTTGAGCGATAAGGGCATCATAGCCTTATTATAGATATTAAATACCAAACATCACTTTGACTCGTTGACGCATGCTGCTGCTACACTGTGTGTGTGTGCGTCTCTCTCTCTCTCTCTCTCTCTCTCTCTCTCTCTATCTCTTTATCTCTATATCTATCTCTGTACTTCTTTTCTGTTTTAACGGTGAGAAAAGCGGCCCTCGCTGTACCGCTACTCCCGAGCCCCGGACAAACGAGATGTTGAAATAAAATTGTAGAATGGGCACTACAACGTTGTTTTTTTCCCGCAAGTGCTACATGAAATTGCAATGTAAAGAAGGGGAAAACAAAGCCCTAATCCACAAGCGAGACGTGCACTTACGCGCCCCGTGCCTTATTATTCGAGCGCTGAAGAAATACTCGACACCAGCCGGGGCCAGAGGCCAATAACATTTACGACTCGGACTTATAAATAATTCTTTCATTAGCTCAATCAGAGGCTAATTTATGGGGACGAGCGACGAGCGAGCGAGACGCGGACGTGCCCAACCACGTATCGAGCACCGACCACGAAAATCTTCCACCGTCTCCCTCTTTAGCCCTCCGATTGCAATCTCGGTATCCACGATAGTTTCGCTGCCCTTCCCAAAAGTCCCGCTCTAGAATGGAAAAATCCCCGCCAGGGCGTCACTCCGGCCGCTTCGCCACGTTTACAATCGATCGGTCGCTCGACGCGCGAATTCGCCTCGCGTGCGCCCCGAGGTTGCACTTAATGAGCGACTGATCGAATTAAGGTATTAGCCATGGAGTTCGCATTGCGAGTCGACTTTCCGTTTCACGCGATCGCCGTGAAATAGTGTTTGCGCGATTGCCGCGTGCGACTGCTAATTCCCGCGAGATGCCGGCGGCAGTGCGGCGCAACGTCAAATTAAAAGCGGCGGTTGTAGGGAATTAAATTAAATACTTTGTGGGATGCGGGAGGTCGGTTTGAAGTGCGTAATCGACACTCGTCGATGCTTATTCGACGGTGAATCTTACGAATTAGGGACGATAATTGGCGTTCTGCCCGGCAAGGAATAGCCGGACTGTTATCATCAGTGCTGGTCGTGATGGCGGTGGACGCGAGGGTGAGGGACGAAGAAAGATTCGTCGGCAACGATCTCGAACTGGGGATCCAGCGACTGGGTTACGTAACGAGTTTCGAATGGCACTTTCTCGAATAAAGCATCTCTCGGCGCGCCTTGCCCCGATCGCTCGAATATGCCTGGCCAAATGGGGGATCGCGCGCATGCGGCCCACAATGGCACACTGGATTTTTCCTTCGGTGCGCTCACCCTTAGCCAGCGAACCGACGGTATTCCCGACTAGCGAATTTGCTCCCCCGCATCTCAACCTACACCATACTATCATATTCGCTTTTACTTTCACCCTCCCCCACCCCCATATCTCATACACACGCATACTCTGTCTCTCCCTCTCACCCACCCACCCCTCTCTCTCTCTCTCTCTCTCTCTCTCTCTCTACGTATCTATCTCACTAGCGCTCTTCAGCGTCTTATTGTTCCTAAACTTCGTTATTTTCGATTGGCACTTGTGCAGTCAAGTGCGAAGCAGCGCTTAATCAAGTTACGAGTGTCGCTATAACTGTGCGCATTGAGTTATTGTGGCCTTTTTCCGATCGTTAAGGGAATAATTTACGTGTAATGTCCAAGAGACATTCACCGTTGATTTACTATATATATATATATATATATATATACCGAACGCTTGGCCGCAGTGTTCGTTTAACGTGCTCCGAGGCGTTGTTGTGTCAGACTTTTTCCTATTGCTATGGCATCCGTAAAACACAAACGTGGAAACCACTGTTTATACTGTGACGTGGAGAATTTTTAAAAATGCCAAAAAATTACACTCAAACGAATCTTGCGCTTAAAAATAATGTGCATCATTCCAAAAATTACCGTCTATTTTCTACTACGGGTAGACGCAATAATTTTCCCTCTGAAAATATATTATATTTTTAAAGAGTTTTTGTTTTATTTTGTTTTTATTAAAATAAATAAATATATATATATATATATATATATATAAAGTTTTTACCATTTCAGTTCATTGAAATTATTGATTAATTTACTAAAGAGCATAAAATAATGTACTGGCGGAAAAATGTTTGTGAGAATTACCCGGGATAAGAATTTAATATGGATAAATTTAGCTCGTTTAAACGTTATTAAACATTGTCAAAAAATTGCTGTATTGATTAATTTTGTGTAACAGCTACTTTGACATTTTAATTTGAAAATTATCTTATACAATTTTCTTGACTAAACTGATTTTGCAAGCTATGAATCGTGCGTCATTTTTTTTTTTATAACGTCATTTCTCTAAATAAGTCGACAAAGTGGAATGCCGTGAGAGTAGAAGTGATAAACAGGGATAAATTTAATTTGTCTAGGTTTATTCTATGATCGCAGAAGAAGAAAAAAGAAATAAATGAAAAGAAATTGATTACGAATGCAAGTTCGTAATCTTGGAATTTATCAGAAAGAGTAATTAGCGCGCGCATTATCGGTTAAATGAAAAATAAAAGCTCCTTTGGTCGTTGGAATGAATAAGCTGTACTTGTCACGGATATTTTTCGACATCTATATTACGAACTAACGAATATTTTCTAGGAATTTTTCAAAAACCCATTATTGGATCAAGTTCTAATGTCTTTAAACGAATGAAAAACTTTATGAATATTGGGACAGCGTTGAGTCGTTAGTAAACGGCTTTAGTCTTAATAAAAATTGAGCGCTCTTTATACATTCTAGGGGATAATGCATCGATCGATCAAGTAGCTACGATAAAAATTACTCTTAATTCATTCGTTCGTGGAATTATGTTTCCATAGCTTCCTTCCTACCCAATGGGTAGGCACGAGTGTACTTGCTTGTTGCTGCGTAACAATTACTCAAAGCGCATTATTGTCGAGTAGACGTACGAAAGGAAATTAATATGCATTCCGGCAATTCGATTATCCACGACATAATTACCAATCGCTAAATCAAAGCTTCAAATCGCAGTCGTAATTTAAAAGTAACGAGCCCAGATGTGCCGTTTATAATAAAATCTCCCTCCTAATTGCGTCACTTACATGATAACTATTTATACCAGAGACAGTCGGCATAATGATCAATGCATCATCGCACAAAGTCACTTTTTTATGAGAAGGGAAATTTTTTTAAAAACTTGGCAATATTTATGTGATAGGATCGTATTGAAATTGGAAGGGATTAGCCAATTATTCATAGCCACGATAAGCCTTGGTATTTTACTCGTGGTCACTGAAGTAACAGTTTTGTGCATCTGATAACGTGAATTTAAAGTATTTATTTCGAGTTTAAATACATTGCTGATAACTCGTTGATAAATGCAGAACGAGGAAACAATTTATAAGATGAAATAGAGGTAGGAAGTAGATTGTATGATTTAGCAAAATATGAACACACGAGCATACGCTATATACGTATCTATCTATCTACCTTTCTCAATCGTTACGGCAAAGTCATAACAACGCGACGTTTATTATACGCACAAGTTATTTGCTCTCCCTCCCTCTATTCCATTTCATCTATCTCGCATTATAATGCACATAATATGCTCGGGGAAAAAGCGCGATAAAGTTGGCGCCCGCGTAAACAGGCATATAAGGAATAACAAGTGCGTCGATGAATTGTCGATGCGATCGTGGTGGTAATGATGCGCCTATCTATTTTCAATAAACGACTTGGATCGCGACATTTTAAAGGCGGCATCGGCGCCTCTTAAGAAATCGCACTTTCGACAATTGGACTGCGTTCACAATGCGACTCTACGCTATTCTCCCCTCCCAATCCTACACCCATCGTCACGCTCTCTCGCACATTCGTTCATTCGATCGTTGTCCATTGTGAAAGGGCAGATATTAAAAGTGTCCGTCGTTATTTCTGTTACAGATAAACCTGCGCCTCATCCTCGTCAGCGGCAAGACAAAAGAATTCCTATTTAGCCCGAGCGACTCCGCGGGGGACATCGCCCATCATGTCTTCGAGAATTGGCCGGAAGGTGAGTTGGGGCACGATGACCCGAATGCGAGGCTTGCCTTCGGGTGCCGAAGGTGCTGCGATTCAAAGACAGCGACAGCGACAGAGACAGACAGACAGACAGGCAGACAGACAGAGAGTGAGAGAGATAGAGAGAGAGAGAGAGAGAGAGAGAGAGAGGGACAAGAAACTATTTTCTCATTAGCGCGAGTGTACTTCGAGCGACGATCGATTTATGGATGATTCAACGAGCGCCGCTACGGTGTCGCTCAACCGTTTCTTCTTATCCACGCACTTATTGGCGCGTGGCCTTTTCTCTTCTTTTTTTTTCCTCTTTCTTTTTCCTCGCTGGACTGAAGCGAGGAAGTACCTTCCTTGCACGCGCAATACAATGATTAAGATACTTTGTTCCACCGGCGATACTTGCATTTTTTTCCTTTCCGTTGTGCCCGCGTGTGCGTGTGATCGCGTGCGCCCGCTCATGCTTCTTATTATTAGAGGATCGGATACGTTTCGATATCGCCTACGATTTACATAAGGCTGCATGTGCAAGAAATGGACGAGGCGTTGCGCGACTGACAATGGGCTCGGGTACCATTGGGAAATGTTTTCGGTATAACTGTTTTCCGTACTTATTTCTGTTCGCCTTAACGAGTCGGCGGCTTTCGCGGCGGCCCTGCTTCCGACGACGGAGACGGTGAGTTTCGTTTATTCTTTAAAAGCTTTAATGCATCGTGACGGCAATCATTTACAATTACCGGAGAAAATCTGCGGTACACAAAGACGACGCTCACGCTTTAATAACAGCGAGTCCGATGTATTCTAGCTCGATCGACATGCCACATTAACCTACGGCATTTTCGAAGATTTTATCATTTTTCCCCGAAACGATTTCGCAAGGTTTCCCACTCGTCGGCCATTTATCTCCTTTCGGATAAATTAATTTTTTATTTCGTGGAGCAGCTGTCGAAACGCAATAGGAGCAAGTCTTCCAAGTAATCGGAATACCTCCTTCCTTATCCCCGATCTGCATTGGAATATACCACTTCGCTATGAGCCTTGAATGACGCATTAGAATTTCAATGTTAATGGAACTTCGGGATATTAAAAACACAGCTAAGTGTCTTAAATCGTCAATGACTCGTGCGCTTTTTCGAAAAGAACGAACGCTTATAAATGAGTTACTTGTAAAATGCACTTTAAATGAAGCGAAAATATAATTACCGCGATTTTACAATTCAACGAATAAATTCTTGTAGCTGAACGACACAGTGCTATTGCTAACGAATCGTTAACGCTATCACAATAAACAAAAAATAATTATTATAGGGGTGAAAGGGACGGGGGGGGGGGCGAGACAGATATAAAAGGATGAGAAAAATGAAAGAAGATAAAAGTATTCATCCGCGCGACGATCGAGCTCTCTAACTGGCCGAAATCTTTTTCGCGAATTAATTCCCGATATATAAGAAGCAATTACTGTCTTGAGCAAGTGCGATACGAGTAATCACAAAAATTGCCAATGTACTTTTCATTTAGTATAAATATTTCCTGACTCATTCTCCTCTTATCGAACCTCTTTCCGCGCTCGGCGTTCACGCTATTGGAATTCCAAGCGTCATGAGGTCAATTATTCAAGTCCGCGGCGCGAATCACTAATAACAACAGCTATTTGCAATTTCCGAGACGACGGCAAAAAGTTCACCTCGCGCCGCGTATAAAGAATAAAAAACGAAAAAAGAAAAAAGAAATGACGATGGAAATGATAATCACGTGGTTGACATTAATTCTCGATGGTCGTTCTCGGGCGAAGCAGCGAGCCAAGTCTCGGGACGGTGACTTTTCGTCGCTCGCGTTGTCGATTTTGAAAATGTCGACCGCGGGCCGCGATGACAGAAGTAGCATAAGGAAATAAAATAAAACGGCCGACATACTGCGCTACGACCTAAAATTCGTCCTTTCTTATTACAGATTGGGCGGAGGAGGCGGTGGCCAAGGCGGAAATCCTGCGGCTGATATACCAGGGCCGCTTCCTGCACAGCAATGTGACGCTCGGCGCCCTGGGCCTCCCTTTCGGCAAGACAACGGTGATGCACCTCGTGCCGCGGGAGAACCTCCCCGAGCCCAATTCTCAAGGTGGGTCGGCTTCGAACGACTCTTCCGTACGCCTCTCATCCACTTTAGTACAACCCCTCGTCTCTTCCCCCCCCCCCCCCCCCCCCGCATCCACCTGCGCACACCCGAGTCGCGTTGCCCGACGCGCAACGCCTCTCCAATAGTACTTTCCACAGGCACACAACTTCCGCTCTCTCTTTTCCAGGAATCCTACCCACCGGCGAGTACATGCACGTGCAACCCGACGACGCCTAGTGATCTGCCTGCGAAACTCCTCCTCCTCCTCCTCATCCTGCTCTTTTCTTTCCTGGCCATGCGCCTGTTAATAAAATGCACGGACAAGATTAATCGTCATTGTGCATCCTCATCCTTGACGTTGCTTAAGACGTCAGTCGTGAACAAATTTGTGGATGGATGCGAGAAAATCTGACTTTCACCCCCTCTATGGTTGCCACCTACTACGAGTTGAAAAGTTCGCGCCTCGGCTTTTCGCCGGACTTTAGGAGTGCCGAAACTTTAGCATCCGGGCAACTTATCGCGTGCATTTATTGACCGCACCGCTGGTAAATTCAACGGTCCCATTTTCTGGATAATCGGGCGCTTATTTACGTGGACTGAGAGCGGCCGTATTTGTGATTTAATTCGTTTGAAGTCTGTTTAAAAATAAACGCGGGACTTTATCGACGCGATGATAAATTCCCTAGTCTTACCATAAAAGAGAAGAAGGCCGATCTAGATTTCGCGGCATAAATTGTAAAGTCTGCAACGATTTACTTCTCCGGACAATGAATCAGCGTAATCATTCGAGATTATCCATTCGCGATGTCACATCAACTCTAATGATTTAATAAAGCTTTTCTTTTACAAATTATATTAATGCCGAATAATGTTGTTTTAACGACGAGGCTAAATGAATAAGCGTGTCATAAAGATAATGTTTATTAAAAAATCTTGATAATTTTTAGTCAACCTTGTTGCGTAATCATTGAAAGAAAGAAAAATTCAGTGAACAAAGGGAAAATGGTAATTGGCGGAGGGGGGGGGCCGATCTTTCTTTAACAAAAGGATAAAGTTATGGCCGATGCGGGGAGAAGTTTAACAAGACAGGAGATTGAGTCCCAGTGGGAGAAGATGGGTCGAGTCCGTTTCCTCGAAGAGATATTTCAACTATCAAAAATTATTCTTATCTTTTAATTCTATATGACAAGTAAAATTAAAGTGTTTTAAGATTTAATTTGTATTATTTTATTATCCTCTTGGTATTTAAGATGCGAAAATATTTATTATTAGTCATTTCTGCATGTGCGAGTTTATTATCGGATTTTTTTTTTATTTTACTTTATTTAAGTAAAAGACTCATTCGCGCAAGTGTATAAAGGTACATTTGCACTAATTTGGTCCGATGTATTTAAAAAGTTGTTGCTTCGCTGAAAAAATGGAAATATTTCAAGAGACGTTTTATCATCTTAAATATATATATATATTAAACAAAAAAAACACTAGTACAATTAATATTGAAATATTTGATGAGTTTAATAATATGAATTTATAATTCGCTTATGGATTACATTGTCCGTAATTTCAATAGTCTAATTTGCAATTATAAAATTGACTTTAACGAATGATATCTTTGGCTTTAGGAGATAAATCATAATGCCTTATAATTCGTTTTGTATAAAATTTGTAGACGCCTTTAAAAACGACTAGGAATAACATTTTCAATATTCAATATGTCTTTAAGTAATTAATTATACGGATTATTAATGATGCTATATTAAATTCAATGATTTTAAACAAATGTTGACAGACGTAAATTACTTCGTGCATCAAATTTAATGTATCGATTGATTGACGAGAACTGAAAAATTAGACTTTTGGCCTTGTTTTAATGTACATGGTCAAATACATTAGAATATCTCCTACATAACGTGCCATTTAATGAGTCGTCAAGATAAAATAAACAAACAAATAAAAAATACGTCACTTATTTCACTAAAATACTATTTTCAATTTTAAAATAGTTAAACACCGATAATTATTTTTTCTTTCATTTTGTGCGTATAAAATTGTTTTCAAATGATTAAAGCACTTTGAAAATTAATGGTTGTCCGCACGGTCGAGCATTATTTAAAATGCCAAGAATTTTGTTCGAGATGTTATCCAAGTCTAGAAAAATAGCGATTAAAGACTCGTTATGAAATGATAAAAAATGTTTCAGGTTCATAAACACAAACTGATATTTCATACGTATATAATTATTCGTAGGATATTTAAAAGATAATTTCTCGATTAGTTGTGATTATAAAAAATTTCAGTGCAAAAACGTTTTATCGTAAAAGACGCGAGTTAGAAAAAAAAAAATAAAAATAACGACTTTTTCAGCCAGAAATGTAGCTTTGATTATATGCTGGCCATTATCGAAGATGCAACGATCCAATAACTTAATAAGATAAATAATGATTTAAGTGTAGTCTCTTGTTAAAGGAGTGGCCGATGTTAAGTTCACCACATTATTTACCAGTGTCTTCCTACATTTACGCATTATCGATGCGTAAACTTGCGGTTAGACTTCGAAACTTTATGCAACATGGCTATCATATTACAAAGAATAATATAAAAGACAGAGGAGCCGCATTAGCGTGTCAGCGCGAGGCTGAAAAAAAGTTCGTGTATAGTTTACACAAACATGCGAGCCGACGACGGCTTCGTGACATTCCGTATTAATTAACGTTATTGTTATCAGAAGAGACATTATGTAACGGCGGCGGCGGCGGCGGCAGCGGCGAATCCTTGAATCTCAAGTCGAAAATCCGCGCGCAAGGGGAGACGCTCGTTTGAGAGTCGGCGCATTCCTCGCCATTGGTCACTCCTCTTGGCGCACCACCTCACCCTTAATCCCCACTCGATTCCCCTCGCATATGCTCACGTAACCTTGTGCAATGTTGTCATTTCAGATCAGCGGCAAAAGAGCAAAGGCGGTGGTAGCAGTTGCTGCTCGGCGTCCTGCTGCATCCTGTAAGGGGGGGGTGGGACGGCATGCGGCACGACCCCTTCCTAGGCGAAACAACGATACGACAACCATAAAGCTCATCCAAACAGACACCAGACAACACCCACGTATACCTAGGCCACGGGAGCGAGCAAAAGGGTGACGGAGACGCGTACGAACGCTCGCTCGACGAAGAGGTCGCGACGTCGACTGTCCACCCCTCGAGCGTTCTCACGGCCGCGCGACTCTTGCGGGCTGGAGGAGGCACAGGGAGGTCAATATGAGCCTCCTCCCAGAGTCTGGGACTCGGCCCCGAGCGACGCGAGATCGCGCGACAAGCGGAATGCCTTCGACGGCCGTCGTAGCTGGTGTCACGGGAGTCGCAACGGGACGCTCGAGTGTTTAACGGCCGACGCGGATTTCGGCTCGACCCTCTTCGTCCTCTTCGTGGAAAAGGAAGAGATCTCTAGGCGTACGGCGTTCGGCGCCGAAGTTCCTCGCTTAGGCCGCATATCCCCGTGCCAGACCCCACCCAATCCCGAGATAAATTTAACGATTATAGCATGTACATAATAAAGAAAGAGAAGAGGATGAAGCGAGATATATAGCGAAAAGCATGAGCCTCTGCTCGATCGCAGGTTTATAATAATGAGTGAGCGCTAATATCAAGCGTCGCTACTTTATTCTCTCACTCTCTCTCTCTCTCTCTCTCTCTCTCTCACTCTCTCTATCAGCCTCTCCGTCCCTCCTCTCTTCCTCTCTGCTCTCCTACACCTTTATCCCTTACAGAGGCTCTTTTTAAAAACGTTGCCGACATAGAGGACGACGGTAAATGTGTATTGCCGGAGTGCAACACTAACTTGATCCCTCTATCTCTATCTCTCTCTCTCTCTCTCTCTCTCTCTCTCTCTCTCTCTCTCTCTCTCATTGCCTCTCACTACCAGTTACTTCATTCTGTTTTCAGGATAGTTCAATTCACCATAATTTTCACTTAGTTGCAAGATTTCCTCGTATTCTCAGCTTGAATTTGTAGTTGTGCCCGTACGGCCCAGCTTCGTTATAAGCGTGGATTTGTTGGACAAAAAAGAGAGTGAGAGAGAGAGAGGATGAGGAGAAAAATTGTGTGAAAGATTGCGACAGAGGGAGTCAGGGAGAGAAATACGATGTTTTGCCGTTGTCGCGGTGAAACGCCCCTTTTTTCCAGGTTCACGCGTCCACTTTCACCGGCCCGCTGTCCGCTCAATTCAATCGGTCGAGCGCAGAGCAGCTCTGTAAGATAAATAAAAAAGGAAAAAAGAAACGACTTTTCCTTGGTACGTCATTTCCGTTAAATTCTCTCGGCTTGTAGCTCGGTAACGTCGCCAAGCCTCGTCGACGAGGTATCCCGGCGTCCAGTTCTTTCTCGAATAAGCGCCAACCGAGAACGTCGGCGCATTTGGCGTTCGATCGATCCTTCGCTGGGTCAAACTCGACACCCGTGCCTTCTTCATCTTCTCCCCGTTTTCCGTCTTGGATTTTTCCTCGTCCTCACTTTTTCGGCATACGCGCCTTTTATTGAAAACCGAAAGCCGCGCGTACGTGCGCGCGCCGAATCTGCGGAGCTTTCGCGTAATGCGGAATGGCTGGCCTACATTCGTCGCAGCCAAATGCAATGACGCAGCGGCGACGTCCTCGTATCGCGAGCGGACGCAGCGGGGAAAAAAGACGGAGGGGCGGAGATGGTGTCGGCTGAGGATGAGGAGGGGGAGAAGGAGGAGGAGGAGGAAGAGAAAGAGGAAGAGAATCAGGTGTCGCCAATATCGGCGTGCGAATATCTAATGAAATGATGTTAAGTGTTTCGTGGTATTTTGCTAAATCAATTTGCTGTAAAGGAAATTTCAGTTCCAGAGCAAACAAATTGAGAAAGTAAAAAAGACGAGCGCGAGAATGAAAGAGCGAAAGAGAGAGAAAGAGAGAGTGATAGAAGTAGATAGCGATAGAGAGAGAGAGAGAGAGAGAGACAGCGAGGGAGAGAGGAAGGGCGAGCGCGAGCGAAGAGAGAGAAAAAAGTGAAATATCGAAATCACGATGGACGTACGAGACGAAACGATGAATCATGTCACGAATACAATTTAAGAGCAAAGATAACTATACATACATAAATGCATAGATAAATAAATAAATATATATATATGTGTGTGTGTGTGTGTGTGTGTGTGTGTGCCTGTGTGCGTGCGCGCGCACGCGTGCAATCGTATGGAATAGCGAGCGCGTACGCTCGTATGTGCAGGCGCGTGTGCAAAAGTTATCTGTTAAAAAGTGAGATGGGCGATACAATACAAAATTATGTAAAATTGGAGAGGGTGAGGGTGTTAACACTGCACGGTACCACGCAAACATATAATTGAAACTTACAACGCGAGTTTGACGGCGACACCTTTCTGTTCGCGTTATAGCGTGAACTGTGTGTCATAACTGGCTGTTCCTTCTCCCCTTTCCATCGTCTTCTTGGGGTAAAAATGCTCCCGTTGATTACAAAAGAGAGAAGGAGAAAAATAATGTATCAAAGGTATAAGCATCTTTAAGCAGACGGCGGAAAATAATGATACGATCGAGAGTGAGAGTGAGAGAGGGGGGGGGGAGGGAGAGAGAGACAGACAGATATGAGATGAAAAATAATGGACGCAGGAGTTGCACGCGCCATCGTTTATTCCCTCCCATTTGTCGATCCGATGGTGGATCATTCTAAAAAGGTCTTTTTTATCTCACTAATTGAGAGACATTTTTGATCAGGGCCGCTTTTTATTGTAGAGAAAGAGGATTTACTGCGAGGAGCAAATAAAAAAAAATGAAATGAAAATATCATCGTTATTAAGTTTAAAAAGTGGAAGATTAAACAAAATTATTGAAACGAAAAAGCAACAGAGTAATAAAATGAATATGAAAAAAGGCTCGAGCTGCCTTTTTGAACCTCGACACCCATACACCATACATTATTATTATTATTATTATTATTATTATTATTATTATTATTATTATTATTACATACATACATAATACATACACGCGGGATGCATACACAGACACGCGCACACGCACACACAAACAAGGAAACGAAAAAAGAACCTCATATACACCTTTTACAAGCCAATAAACACACACGTATATGTATAAATATATATATATATATATATATATATATATATATATATATATATATTTATATATTTTACTGCTAGTGGATATCACATGAGTACGGTAATGTAATATTCATCTGTACATAGGACAATTAATATGAATTCAGCTGACTAGTAAATGTTTTAGAGATCGGCAAAAAAAAAATAAAAAAAATAAAATTACCAATTGGAAGAATTGTCACGAAAATAACAATGAACCGGGTAAGTTTGTTATTATTTTCACATATAATTGTTATGCGATTGTGAAAGCAGATTTAAAGCAAGGAAAAGGAAAATGGTCGATGACGAGGAAAAATAAACAAGAGTGGAAAAATGAGGGCAAAATGACGACACTTGTTCGAGCTTTGGAAATGCATTTTGCTTTTAAATTTTAAAGTTCAACCTCTAAACGCAAAGGCGTTAAAAATATGAAGAATATATAATCTTACTTTCCCTTGCTATGACAGCAGCCGTATCTACTATCTATTAACTATTTCAGTAAAATCTTAAAATCTATATTCTTACTAAGCAGTCTTCCGTTTTGAGCCTAATTCACTTCAAACATAACATGATTCTCCGATTTTGATGTTTTGCACTCACTCTTTTGCTCCTTATAAGCTTACATTCTTTATGTACGTAATGTAAAGAAATTACTGTACTTTTTACGATTACTTGCGCCTTCGCCTTTGTTGCATCTGCGTTAGGAAGGATGTCATAGTTGTATTCATTTAGACCCTACACATTTAAAGTAACTTTATTTTGCTTTATGATTTACTAAACTTTATAATACTTAATGTAGTCATTCGGTGTGTGTGGGGGGGGGGAGGGGGGGGGGTATTTCTTCTTTCTTTCTTTTTTTCATCTTCTTGTTGTATTATTTATTCGATATTTTTCAGATATTGAATTTTTACGGTATAGCATAACATTTTCAGTTGAAAGAAAAGATTAGGAAATTTCAGCTTGTAGGATTAATTAACCTTAAAGTATGCAAAGGTAGCGTTCGTAAACTCACGTACCTGGAATATTAAATGCAAAATTAAAATTAAATACTTAAGTATACTTGAGACTTGAACAAGTGTCATTATCCATCGCTTATTTTTATACTTTCGCTCATTCTTCATTGTCTTCGTTCGCTCCTCATTTCATTATTTCAAATCTGATTTCACATTTACTCTCAATAAAGTATTTACTCTCAATAAAGAATGATGTAAACGATACAACTCGCGTCTACTCGTGTCCACTGCCGACAAGATGCTGAGTCGATTTTTTGCAGATTTATTATACCTATATTAGGCTTACGTTACACACCTCATTTGTAAATATTAGAACGTATTTTTGTCGTCTATGTAAAATCAACGAGGATTTTAACTAATGGCTTAGTTCTTAGCATAACGAAATAAAGTTGAGAACATAATGGGAAAAAAAAAATATTAAAAACTATGAAAATGCGTATTTATTTCTTCTTAATTGCACCTACTTCCTCATTCCACAGCTTCTTTGTTCGCCTAATAAGCTTAATAATATAGAAATTAATGAATTTTTCAGCTAAGAAAATTATTTGCAAATAACTCGATTTCCCGTTGTCGTTTATTTTTTATCCGTTAAACACTTATATTAAACATTTGCCTGGCTAATATCATTTGTTTTATTACGTAGGATCTATAGCGCATGATTGTAAAACAAAATTAAAATGCAAATGATAACGTATTGCAAGTACAAATTATCATTATGAACTGGTGGATAAAAGTAATTATTACAAGTATAAGTTTTTTCACAATATTTAAGCTCAAATCTTATTTCAGTTGCATAATGAATTTGAAATCCAATATTTTTAGCATTATTTGAATAAAAATTATCTATTAGTGTCATTATATAACTTCCTAAGAATTTAATATGCAAATATAATGAAATGTATTGCAAACAGGCAGACTAAAAGACTACTTACAAACTATTAATTTCTATTATTATGAAAATAACAATAGGAAGTGTATGGTTGAAAAATAAAAAGAAACAGTACGTTGAAATAAATTGCGTGAAATTCATCATAACGGAGAAACAGAATGAGGTCATGATTTTTTAAAATAACCCATATATGTAAGTTATATGTTACTTTTGGAGTTTTTTTTGCCCCCCCCCCCCAATACATGTAACATCTTGCACGAATTATTTATTTAGCGAATGATATTTCGATTGCCTTGGTAAATTTGAAAAAAAATAAAAAAATAAATATCTTTTTTCGGCATAGTAAAACTAACGCTGATATCTTTGATTATAAAAGTTAGCGACAGGAATTTTCATTGAACTTGAAGGAAGTAGAAATTCATATTTTTATAGATGCTCATTCTATAACATAAAAAAATTATTAAGCTACCATTTGCTATTATCATAAAATCATAATAAGATATTCATATTCATTATATGTGATTCGAGTGATTCCACACCATATATTACATATAACAGAATTATCGACAAAATAAATTTTTCATTCTTACATTAATGCGTATTTTTAACGTGACGTATATCAAGTGTATCTTGTGTATATAAAAAAAATATAGTGACGTGTAACGTATTAAATGATGCACACTTTATTGGCTGACGTTACATGACATTTTTTAAATTATAAAATTTGCTTTTTGAGAAGAAAAACACAAACACAAAATTGCTTTAATTTGTTAAAAGGTTAAAGATAATAAGCAATAGTTTCGTATAATTAAATATTGTGTATAACTTTGTTCGTCTTGTTACTTAGCAATCGTGAAATTTCTAACAAATTTCGATTAAACGATTGGATTTACGTATAAATATTTAGGTGAGAGGTACGTTTGTCGATGTGACGTTCCATTAAACAAAATCGACAGGAATCATAGGAAATTGAACAACTATTCGCCGATGCATCATAGGAATGGATGACGCACGAACATAAAATGCCATCGGTAAATTAATTTCAATTTTTGTTTATTAAGTTTATAATTCTGCATTTGAATGTTTAAATAATAAGTTACTTTATTATACAATAAATTTCAGCAATTTTTCACGTCCCCCCCCCCCCCGTCAATAAGCAATTTCTTTAATTACTATTCGACGTGTAATAAACATAAAAATATTACAAATACGATAAAATCGGGTACTTTTTTTTTCTTTCCATTTTTCTCTAAATTTACTTCGCAATGCACGTAATATACGCGTAACAATATATTTTGCATTCTTCATGTACGTACAAATGTGCATCTATAAATCACTTCATGGTGTTTTTAATTACTTTTCGTCCGCTTTCTAGGTTACCTTCGCCTACTACATTTATCTGGTGGACAGTTAATATTATTAATGCTCTCGTGGGCGAGTCACAACATTAACAAGCGCATTTTCCCATATTGGATAAAAATAGAATTGCCCGCGAAAACTTTCTTCGTAATGTACAATGCAGCTCGCGCCAATGTCCAAGATGTCGTATTGTTCTCTTGAAAAGCTTTTCAAAATTCAAAGCCAAAATATAGTATGCGATACGCAACATTGGCATACTCGAGTCGCATAATAGATCGCCTCGAACCAATGCTCACTCTAATTAATCTTCCTATTAACTTAAGAATATATAAACGTAATTTTGATAAAGTATTTTCACCTCCATCCACCTCCTTTTACGTCGTATGTTTCACTTATTTAAAATAACCTCGTCTCAAGATGTCCCAAAGACAAACGATTAGAATAGTTATCTCTATTAATTCTTTCGGAACGCACTCGATGTTTTTTATTTTTCTGTTTCTTTTTTTGTTTTGTTTCGTCGAACGCGTTACTTTACGACTTTGCCAATATTAGGGACATTTTCCATGAATTCGGACGAACGGTTGATCTAGACAATGATATAAGCGACGTGATGGTACCGAGACTTGGAACATTGTTTCCTCCACCGTTTAAAGATTCTCGCCGAGCGAATTAAAATAATTATTACAATATAACAAATAAATGTTAATAATTATAATGGGAGGTTTGGCCGTATGGAGATGGTTGCTACCCGATGGAAAATCAGTCTCGAGTCTATGAACGCGCGATGTTAAAGCGCCGATGATAATAACGATAGACTACTTTTATTTAATAATAGCGATCGGCCAAGAATATTTGATTTCCAATTAGGCCTTAAGTATATGTACGGGAGAATGCAATCGATGATCGATAAATCTCGCAGAGTCATAGACATAGTCCGACACTATCGTCCACTTCCGGTTTTGTCCCTTGCCAATCTGTCTAGCAAGCCCACTCTGAAAATCGCAATATTCATCCCGTGGATGAATTAATTCACAAATTAAAGCTTGATTTGGTGATTAAATAATGAGCGCAATGCTTTATGAAGTAAAGGGGAGGATCTACGAGCTCGTATACGCCGATCCAACCGGTCTCGCCGACCCGCTTCGATTTATGTTAACCGATGGAATCGACATCGCTGACAACTGTACACCTGTCCCCCACCACGCACCCTTCAGCCACGATGGAAGCACGTTATCTACGAAAGAAATTTGTGGATCGTACGCGGAGATAGGCGATGGAGGATCGAGTAAGAAGAGCCCACGGCACGAAAATCGATGATCGTCATTAGCGGCGCGTAAGACGTAGCCGTGCGTATGCAAATGTATACAATGGTCATTTGAAACTAATGCCATTGATTATAATAAAACGACTGGGATGTCTTCTCGTATTTTACATATTAAAATCATGGATAGACAATTAAAGGCTACGGGAGGTCATGGCATTGAATATTAAGAAATATTCAGCTTAAACGACGGAATGAAATTTCTTTCGCTTTCTATATTTTGTACATGGGTTAATATATTCGAGTGCAACAGCAATTCTGATATTATCAATGGCTAAATTTATGAGTGAAGCTAATAGAGTGGCATCTATCAGGCGAGAAAATCTTAATCTTTACGGCACCAATAGTAAAAGTTAATACTCTAACATCGATGTCATCGACGATTCAAACGAGCGACGAGCAGAGGACGCCAAAGGTATGTATTCGTATATTGGGAAATTTAGGCATCAAGCGTTTGTTATTTTAAGTGAAAGGGTTTGTACAAAAATTAATCCTATTTGTAATTATTGATAACTAAAGAGCGAGTGATTGCAATCAGCATTATCAGCATAAGTATTTTATGCAAATGTCTCCATTGTAATTGACGAAAGGGCTCGGTGATGAGAAAGTCGAAAGAGTTTAATTCTTATAAAATTTGTACGCTTTTCCAAATATAACATCCGAATTTGTTAGAAATTGTTTTCAAAAAATATTATCGCCTTAAGCATTAAAGCACAGAGATTGTGTATACGGTATCCAAATTCCTATTTCATTCGATATTTTTCATCGTGAATTTTTTCGAGATTTACGACACATGCGACAAAAGTTTGCGATTAAATACAAAATATGTGCCTTGTGCTGCATGGTGATGCACGTATTCAAAATTGTGTGACAAACACGTTTGCTTAAATATAATGTTTCAAATGTCAATAACAATCCATTTGCTTTCCTAAACTAATCCGACGAGATACGCGTTATCATAATTGGAAATTGATGATCGAGTGAGACGACAATAAGAGAGCCGACAGATATGTCGTTATTAAACAAAAAATAAACAACTTTACAAGCATATTCGTTAAAAGTGGCTGATAAATGCGTGGAGGAATTTTATAATTATTAATCGAGTTCATTCGGCCGCGATAAAGTGCCAAAGATTATTATAAAAGTTCGGATTTTACTCGAAACGATTTCCCAGCCATTCAACGACACCCCAATGCTTGTACCTACCGTATGCTCATTAAGCGAAGAAATGTGGAGAAATTGTTTCAATGCCAATTATTCATTAAAAGCTTTGTATTTACAATTTACGCGTCTAAACCAGTAGAACCTTAATTTAAAAAAGAAAAAAATTATATTCGATACTTATGAATTAAGTTTCACTGATCTGCACTGCGCCACGATAAGATAAACAATATGCAATGATATTGGGAAGCTCGTCGTTGCTTATATATAATTACCTTATAATTCAGAAGCTCCATACATTTACTCGTAGTAATCAATGATCGAGGAGCATTTGACGAAGAGGCCTGACCCCCTCCCCCCTCCCCGCCCTCCGCCCCCGCCCAATGCATTAACAAGGGAATAAAACATCATTAGAGGGATTTTCGATTTTATTCATGTCTTAATGGCATTCCACGACTACTCTCATTACATATGTACATACATTTCTTATAATATTGCTCCAATGAAATCTACGTGAAAATGACAAAAAATTCAGTTTGATCAGTATCAAAGTTAACGCCTCGGGCGTAACAAGTCTCTCTTAACCAGCCGATCTTAATTTTCATATCACGAATTTATATTTATTGGGCGATAAAATAATGAGGGCTCGAATATCATCGATTACCACGTGATCCTCGAGCCCTAAGCTTCGCGCACCGTAACCTGCGTTCGAAAGAAAGGAAGGGGCAAAAAAAAAAAAAAACAAAATGAAGAAAAAAATAACAAACCGGGGGATCGCGCAAGATTAACGAACGAAACGGAAAACCTTTCCCCACAGTGTGTGAATCTTTAAAAGTTTCGGGGGTAAGTAAAATGACGAGGAGCGAAGTTAAATAAACCGACGACGATGCTCTTGCGCAGTGTAGTAGCGAAGCGCGAACAATGTTAAAACGTTCGTTCCTGTAATGTCCAGCCCAGGCCGTTAAGGCACTCACACCACCCTATTGGTTATAGAGCCAATAAGTCCCAACTTGATAGTGCGCGCTCTTTAGACGGGGTCTCGATGTAAAATGGTGGAGGTAGAAATTTAATAAATATAAAAGTGGCATTAAAACTAGGAGGTGTCGGTGGGGGGCGCGAGCGACTGGTGAAGCTTCGTAACGGCGGTCTGGACGATTTGCTGGAATATCTCGTCCTCCTTGCAGCTTACGTCCAGGCTGAGCAAGTCGATGTGCGCCTTCTTCCCGTCCACCGTCACGTACAGCTTCTCACCCTTGAATATCTTTGGCACCGAGTCCTCGCCAAACATCTCCTGCAGCATCTCGATGAGGCACTCCTTGAAATGCATGCGGTCCATTTTCGAGGGTGCGGTGAGCATCTTCGGATTGCTGTCCATAGTCTCGGCGTGAAGAAGGGCGGTGAGGACCGCATCCGCGTACATGTCGTTAACGGGTGTTGCCAGCCACTCCATCGTCACGATTTTCCCCTCGATGGTAATGTCAACGTTCTTGAAGACCCTGAGCTTCTTATCGTCGACGATGTCGAGGTTGCCGGCGATCTGCGTGAGGAGGTGCTTGAGGGTCGGCAGCGAAGCCGAGTAGTAGACGCTCTGACGCTGCACGACCTGGCTCATACTCATGTCCGTGTACTTGGAGAGGTCGCAAGGGTCGAGCATATGGTAATTGAAATTACGCTTGACCAGGACCCCTGATAGCTTCTGGCCGGGCTTGGGCGTGTCCATGGCCAGGGCACCCATCACCTTGGCCGTCTTCTCGCCACGGAAGTAGAGCTCCACGGCCACGGTGTTGCGAGGATTGTGAATCTCCATAGCGGTGCTCGGATCGTCCTCGTACTCTCTTTGGAGGGCGGCCTTAAGCCTGCCCATCTCGTTCTGCTCCCCGTGGACGAGAACGACGTGGGGCGGCTTGAGAATGCGGATGAACTCCGAGGTCTGCTGGTAGTCAGTGTGCGCGGAGAACGATATGTAATCGACGGACATCTTTAAGGGCAGCTTCTGACCGCTCATCGTTGTTATCTCCTCGGGCTCCGATAATATTGTCTTTGCCAAGGTGCCCTCCACGCAGTAACCGGCAATGATAACGCCGTTTTTCGCGTCCGTGCACCAGGACTCGAAGAGCTCGCGCGACAGGCCGCTCTGCATCATACCCGGCGATGCCATGACGACGCAGGGCCCGATATCGTCGAAGTGGTCGATGCCCTTGAGATTTGATATGTGCTTGAATACGAAAGGATTGTTTATAGCTATTTGTCTGCGAATCTTGTCGTTCATGGCGTTCACGTAGGTCTGATACACGGCCATGCACTTCTTTGCCAGCGATGAGGCGTAATATATCGGGATCTCGTGGAGCTCGGGATGTTGGCTCCAATACTCGTCGAGGATTAGGAGAAGCTCTTGGGCTCGACCGAGGGCAAACACGGGGATGAGGCATCTGCCGCCACGATTCACGATCTCGTGGACGAGATTCGTGAAACGACCTTCTCGATCCTCTCGCTTTTCGTGAATGTGCGTTCCGTAGGTGGACTCGGTTATAAGCACGTCGGGATGGACATTTGGTATTTCCGCGGCCATGAGATGCCTGTCTTCTTGACGGCTAAAGTCCCCGGTATACAAAATCTTTACACCTATTGGAAATGTTTATGTTACACTTATACGTTACAGCAGCATAGGCCTACATTGAAATTACTCGTGTATTTACCTGCTATTTCGATCATGAACATCGCTGCTCCTAATACGTGGCCAGCATTATAGGCCCAAAATTTAATTCCATACACATCCTTCTCCTCGTGAAAATTGATGGTTTCTATTTTATCCATACTTGTTTCTAAATCTGCTTCCGTATAAAGCATTTGTTCCGTGGCAATGTTGCTGACTTTGATATAATCCGATAATAGCCATCGATAAATGGCCTTTGTCGCATGTGTCATAAAACATCTACCTTTAAAACTAGTTTTTTGTAAAAACCAGGGTAACGCTCCGCAATGATCCAAGTGAAAATGTGAAATCAATAATAAATCTATTTCGTCTGCCTCAACTATATCGACAAAGGGTAAGGCATCCATTCCACTCAAGCCCGGATGTATTCCACAATCGAGCATTATTTTCTTCCCTTTGAATTCCAACATTATGCAAGATCGACCGACTTCCTGACCAGCTCCAAGTGGTCGAATAAGAAGTAAATCACTCTCCTCCGCTGGAATTTGGGTATCTGCTTTGCGTTTTACAATTGCCGTAGCCATCTACTTATGAAAAATTACAATTTATAATAAGCAATCGAGATTTATCCATCGTTAATGATGAAATGATTTTTCTTTAATGCAACGAATGCTACATCTATTGTACTATTACTTATTGAACGATAAATTTTTTTTACTAAAATCCTTATATTACTTTTAAACGAGCGATATAATTTAATATAAATATAATATAATACAAATTTAATATAAGAGTGAATTTAATATAAATGTTAACCTCAAAATAAATGTCGTGCAACATATTGGGATTTGCATTTATAATTTTATCTATAAATAATAATTTATACTTATCTTTATCAAAATTAATTTTTACTAAGAAATGTAAAGAAAATTATCGTATTTTCTGTTATTTTTAGCAGAACTATTTTATATTTATATGCGGCTTCCTACGCGGTCTATTTGTTTTTATTAGGTTATGTGCAAAATGAGTACGAAATTTAGACTTATATCTCAAGTATTCTCAAAGATTTTTGAAATCTAATAATAAATATTAGTAATATAGTATCTCTCGAGCTCATAATAATACGTAGTCATTGACTGCATACTTTGTTCATTTAGTTTTCGATAAATAAGCAATGTAAACATTACTTTAACCGAGGTCTTATTTTTTCAAAATATTACTATCTAAAATATCTTTGCTGATAATGAAGCTTTGAGGTTTAATTTCTTGTAGTTTTATACAAAGTATAAAATCATAATATAAATAAATTTTTTAACTATAAACTAGTAGGTCTTGTAAGTAGGCATTGTACAGTTGTTTGTTCGTTACACGGGTACGCGAAACTTATGAAAACCAATTGTAATTGTAAAAATCTTCGTTTATCTTACCCTATTAAATTGATATTTCAAAGAAATTGATAAAAATCACACTGTCCGATCATACATATACTTGAATTAATATTTATATTCGAACTTGAAGCGCCATTTTTAATTGTATTACTATTTAAATATGAATGTGTATACCAACATGGTACATCTTTTCCCGGGTAGCCGATGATTTATTATTTATCACGCCTAACACATACGATGCATATATACATTTTTATCTTTTCTAATAATTTAATCTTTGGATTAACGATACACTCGATAAAAGCACATTTACAGACGAGACTGCTAATGCAGTTTGTAATGTAGTTGACAGATGTCGCAGTATATATCCAAAATCAATTCATAAATCAATCGATCGAGTTCTCATTATATAAAAATGCTTAAAGTGACAAAATAAAATTCTATCGTTTCGACGTCATTATTTTTAATCATTTCCCATAATTTCGTAAAAATATCAGCTGTGTTACATAATACATAATTTCATCTGTAATATATTCTTTATAAAATTTATTCAAATTCACTATCGTTAACGCAATAATGAAAAGTTCTGTTAAGTATAACATGGCTCGAATATTAAAAACTAATATTATTCAAATTACATAAACGAATTTATGCGTATTTAAGTCATTTGCGTTCCCAGAATTCTGATTATTCGATTACAAGCGTAAGTTGTTTGAGACAAAAGAGCAAAATAAAGGTAAATATAGCGGAATTGTGTAAAGATTGAGATAACTCGTGTAAAACAAAATTTGAGGTGAAAAAGTCAAAAAGAAATATGTACGAACAACGATAAATTGATAACGACAATTGGAAAGTTCAAGTACTCGTAAGCTCTCTATCGTGCATCCGCTCTCTTAAGCCAACGATAACTTCATTACAATTAGCCTGCGTTACAATCTCACTCAAAGTCATCTCAATCAAAGTCATAAATAATGCATTCACATTTCCTCATCTAACCAGTCGGTCTATGCCCTTTCTCTCTAATCCCTCGTGTCCCTAAGGCACCATTAACGCTCGAGTATCAGCAGGGAT